TTGGCAGGGGGGGAAGTGTGTTGTATTGCCCAAGTTAAATAAAAATTCTTCAAAATTTTTCAGTGAGATCTGTTCAGTTAGCACCTCTTTTCTTTGGATCAGAGACCTGAAATTTAGCAGGGGGGTGTGGAGGAGGTTGCCTGAGTATTAGGGGTGTGTTGTGTTCCTTGGCATCTCAGTTGGCACATGCTCAGTTGAGACTTGTTAGAGTTTCCTGGCTGAATTCCCTAAACTTCCACCAGTATTGAGCATGCTCCCTTTTGGGAATGTAAAAGTAGAGTTTTCTCTGGAATTGTATTTTTAGGAGTGTCAACGTTAAGCCAACTTTAGTTAATTTTGTGACTGCTCACTTAAGAGTAAGGTTAACATTTTTATTCCATAGAAAATACATTCAACACACAGGCCAGGTTTTATGTTTGCTACTATAACTAGTTTCCTCAGTTTCTTTGGGCTGGTTCTTGTAAGTATGCAAGAAAATTTGCCTCTCTTAAATGAGGGTTCCTAGAAGAGGAAGTGACCGTAGGGCAATCTTTCTATTAGCATGTAGAAGTTTAAAAGATTCAGTCTTGCACATTTCATCCCTTTTTTTTCCCCTTCAGTTACTTTCATAGTTCTCAGGAATGTTTCCTCCTCTGACTTCAGGTGTTTCTCCAGCAGTTTTCCACACATTCTCCTTCTTATACTCTCTCTGCTACTTCCCTGTACTTCTCATTCTAGCATGCCTCATTTCTCTACTTGAAACATTACAGGATGGACCTCTTTTTTTTGCATGCCTAAACAGACTTTAAGAATATTTTTATTTTGGTATTTTGTATTTTATATTGTTATAGATATGGTGGAGAAGAATTTGTGAAGGACAGGGTATGCCCCCAGCTAAACCAGTTCAACATGGGTAGAGGTTTCTAAATGTTACTGAAGGAGGATTAACTTGTTAAGAGGAAACAGTCTCCTACAATGGTCAACGTTTCAGCCAATGCTTAACGAGTCAATACTGTGACAAGTAGGCCTGTGTTCAGTAGCCTGAATCTGAGTCCTGACTCAGCATGATACTTATGTGCCTGACTTTAAGCATCGACTGCTTTGATTCTGCACACATGCATAAGTTTCAGCATGTGAGCAAGTACCCTGCTGAATCAGTGACAGGTTGAGTGCCACCTGGACATCCCCTCTTATTGGCTTCAGACAATAGCTATCACCTACAGAGAAACTGAAGTCAATAGCAGAGGGTGCTCAGGGCTGTTTGAGAACCACCTTTGGGGAAACAAAAGGTCCCAGATGGTTACATGAAGCACAGACACAGGAGGTCTACCCATCTGTGGTTTTAAAATACATTATTAACCTCTAAATAAGCTATTCCTGTGGCTCTTCTGGAAAAACAACAATATCCTTCTGAAGACAGCAGTCTCATCATGCACACCTACGCCCACACCCACAGGCGCACACAGCATCCAGTGCATATACTTAAGCTGTCTCTGACGCACATAATTTTCCTCATTATTGATAACTCAGCTCTGCCCTTCTACCTCTTTAACAAAAGAGATTCCCTTATAGAGGAGACGAGGGGAAAAAAATAGAGAAACTAGTTTTAACAAAAACCCAAACATGGAACAATCTTCAATTATCCAATCGAACACAAAACCTAATCCAAAGCCTGTTGAAATCAACAGGAAATGAGTCTTGTGTGTGGAACTGGCTAAAGCGTATTTATATTGTTGAAAATGAAACATTTTTCCTGTGGCAAATAGTGAGGGGCAGAGTTTAAAAGATTTCAAAGTTCATTTCAAATTGACCTCCCTAATTTTTTTTTTTTTTTTTTTTTTTTTAAGTTTATTCAGTTTTCTCTTGACTTTTCTGCTGAAGAAATCAGACTGGATACTCTGATATTTTTACTTCTGGAATTTAGCTTGGTCAGAAATATGAGAAGAGCCATTGCAGTTACTTAGCATTTCTGTTTCTGAACTGGAAGGGAAGGGAATACGTGGGCATTTTGAAAGAGGAAAGAAAGCAGTCATACTACCACAGAGCTCATCCAGTGTTTGGTATTTTAGTTTGAGATCATCTGCTTAACAGGATTTCAAGTGGTCTGGTGGGCCGCTTAGTTATGGAATCTAGCAAGGTTGTGGTCATAGGCAACATGTTGGGGGGCATGGGGGGGCACCTGCCCCACCCTGAGATTGGCCGCTACTGTTGGCTTTGGTGGGTGGTCATTGCCCCCACTGCCAATGACACCACCACTGGCATCTGGGGACAGTTCCTGCTCACCACCAACTACAAATGGTGCCCCCACCCCAGTCTTGGAAGGCACAAGTCATTCATGGCTGTGGTGAATCTCTTGCAGCTGCCACCTCCAAATTGCACCAGTGCTAGGAGGCAGGCCACCAGTTTCATAATTTCATAGTACCTAGGGTCAGGAGGGACTTGAACAGATCATCTGGCCTGACCTCCTGCCACAGGCAGGAATGAATGCTGGGTTCACAAGACCCCAGACAGGTGATCATTCAACCTTCTCTTGAATTTGTCCAAGGTAGGGGCAAGGACCACTTCCCTGGGAAGCTGGTTCCAGATTACACCCTAACTGTAAAATATTGCCTTCTGATCTCTAACCTAAACGTGTTCTCTATCAGCTTATTACCATTGTTCATTGTCACCTCAGGTGGTGCTGGGGAGAAAAGGGCTCTACCTATTTGCTGTTGATCTCCTCTGATGCATTTGTAGGCAGCCACTAGGTCCCCCCTCAGCCTCCTCTTGCCAAGGCTGAATAGGTTCAGGTCCGTCAGTCTCTCCTCATAGGGCCTGTCCTGCTGCCCTCTCACCAAGCGGGTGGCCCTCCTCTCAACCTTCTCCAGGCTGGCCACATCCCTTTTGAAGTGCGGCGCCCAGTACTGGACGCAGTACTCCAAGTGCGGCCTGACCAAAGTGTCAATTGCATAACACAAGTGTCAATTAAGCGGGACTCAACTGTTAACTGATGTAGACTGCCTTCTATTCAAAAGCTTGTCTAACTTTATCTCAACCAAGCAGTTGGTCCTGTAAAAGATATCACCCACAAAAATCCTTGACTTGGCTGCAGTATTTAACAGCATCTCCTTAAACCTTATTTATTCAATGACCTCAGAAATCCTTTCCCTGTAGTGTGGCTAGCATTGTGATACTTTCCATCCCAATATGTCTACAACAATGGGGTGGTGTGCAGTAAACTTTTCATGGCTTCTCCCCACATTTGCTCCTTTTCTTTCTGAGGTTCTCTATTGACATTCCGCACCAAAGAGGCTCCTGGCAGAGGAATTGTGCCCCTCATGAAGACATACTATGACAAAATAATGAATGGAGCATGCTCCTCTGCAGTTACAGCTCTCTATACTGATAACAAGCCCTAGGCAGAAGGTAGGGCCAGACTTCAGACTAACAGGGCTAACCATCTCATTTTTTTGGTCTTTCATAATGTAGTCGTTTCCTCCAAAAGAGTCTTTGGAAGCATCAGACAAACCCAATATACCATACCCCTTTCTTTCCCTTTCCCTTTCTTTTTTCTTTTTCTTTGACACATTTTTAGCCAACTCCTAAGAGACATTGCTGTGAAATTAAACTTTTTCAGCATTCCCAAATAAACTTTGTGTATTTTCATGCTGCCATATTTCAGTATTTCTGTTTTTCATCCTAAACCAGTATTAAAACAAATACCAAAATGTTAGATTTTGATGGAAATTCCACTCCTCTCCTCCCCCGCCCTTTAATTAACTCCAGTTAATATTAATAGTAAATGTCTGTTGATCAAGACAGAGCCTCTGTGGAGGTCAACTGGGGAAGTCGTACCACGGTTTAACCATTAGTCCTTCAATAGTTCTTTCCTTTCTCCACCTATTACTATTATATCCATGCATTCACAAAGTAAGCACACTCTTCTGTCTGATTGTCATGGTCTTTCCATAGTTAGTGGTGTTCAGAATTGGCAGAGATGTTACAAATACTAGAATGGCAAATTAATTAGATTGGAAAGGACTGGTAGATTATGAAATGGTAAATAAGAAAGTATGGAAGCCAGGTCCCTGAATTAAAAAACAAAAACTAGAAGACCCTGATGCCTAATATTAGGTGCCTAAATCTCATGAATAAGCACCTAAATAAAAGTCATGATTTATGGAGAAGTCCAATAACAACACCCACTAAAGTCAAGGGTGATTTAAAAACTGGGTCACTTAGAAATTTATAACTGACATGGGGCCGGATGTTTGCCTGAATATACCATATGAATGTAGGAGAGGGAGCCTAACCTTAAACTTCAATTATCAAATATTCTGATTTATACTGTTTTTAAATTGCCTTGAAGCACATATAGCTGTTTAACTTTAGTCCTGCCCTGAAAATATTTGCTAGCTAATTTTCAATGAAAGTAGGCATGTGTTAGGGAGGAAGAATTTTTCACACAAATGAAATGATACTAGATAATAAAAATGAACAACTGCAAAAGCAAGCATGACTTGGGTCAGAATTATTATGCAGTTTTAATAAGTTCAGAGATTTCCCATCTTTTACATGATTTAACTGGAGTCTATTTAAGCATAAGAATGACTTATTCACTCATCTAGAATCAACTGTAATGTGACTATCGATTACAGGGGAAAAAACCTAGAAAAATAGCTAAACCCATTTTAACACTTTTTTTGGTCAGGAAACATTTGGCTGTGTTTAGTCCTTTTGATAATGGCATTATTACCAAACTTCTGTTTTCTACCCCCAGAATTCAGAGAGATTTTTAACCTCACCAGGTAATTTAAAAAATAATCACATTACAGTTTGGTCAGTGTGAAACCCTTTCATTTTAGAAGAGTTACCTGTCACTTTAATTAGCCTCCCCAAAAGAAATCTTTTTCATTTTTCCATTTGCCACATGTAACTGGTTTGCAAAAAGCCCTTGGACTGCATTGCTTTTTCCACATAGATGGAAAATAACAAGATATTGGCGACACAAAGGCCAACAAATGGATAAAGGAAGCATGGAATCTGAGATCTACACTTTTTAATAATTTTTAAACTAGCTACAAAATGTCAATCACTTCACAAACTGACAGGAGACATAAGGAATTTCATATTACATGCTGTAATGATATTTCTCTCACAGTTTATCTAGATTTCATTCATTTAGGTTATTTTTTATTATTTTTAATTAAGTCAGCTACTAAACATCTCAGCGATTTGGTGTGCATAGCTCTAGGTAAGCAACAAAGAACTGTACTAATAACAAACCACGTGGGGACAGCGACTAGTATGATAGAGCTTATAAAAATTACATTTCTTTGTACCATTTCATATGGTAGTCGTTTCCTCCAAAAGATAGTCTTTAAAAGCAGCAGACAAACCCAGTATATTACACTTATTTCTTTTTTGTCTTTGACATATTTTCAGCCAAACGTTTATTTTGCTGGCAATGGTTAAATAGTGAGTGCCAAATCCATCTTCTTTTTTCATAATTAAAAAAATGATCATGGTGAATAACTATACATATATCAACAAGAAAAAAGTGGCACTACTGCAAAATTGCTGGTATAACATAGTCCCGACAGAGTCCCAATACTGAGCATGCTTTTGTTGTCATCGTTGATGTGCTACTGCCATGGGAAAGGTCTTGTTTAAGTAGAAGTCTAAAAGTCTATTAATTCCTCATGCATAAATGCAGAACTCACATCACTTTTTTTTAGTGCAATGCTTGTTATAGTTATATAATTCCACATTGTCTAATCATGAAATCATAACAACAGGTAATGGCAATGAAGAACCAAAGACAGCAGGTTTTAAGTGCTTAAACATCATGATATCCAAAGACAGGAGCATGGCAGTAGCTCTGTGGAATGTCACAGTTTTACAAGAACAATACTGTATATTTAAAGGTTAACAGCACGTTTAGCATTCCAACATTGTTGTCATTCAGCAAACATCATAAAATTAAAAAAAGAAAAGAAACCCCAAACTGAAAGAAACAAGAAAAAAAACAAAACACAAACAAACCAAAAAACATAGGAGTGAGCTATAGCCATCAAATCAGCACTATGTACAACCTTTGGAAAGAAAGATATCTAGAAAAAAATAATTACAAGTATCATTTTTGGAAAGCTGACAAACTACATAGGACAACATTTACAATGGGGGCTGATATGTGCATGTGTGCAAACCTAGTAGGTAAATACCATGATAAAAGCATGAATGTACTGCCCGTGAAGACAGCATTAATAAGGAAATGCATCTCATTGCATTTAACCGCTACCCAGCATCTTTGTTGCACGTTGGTTGGCATCATCGATCCTGGTTTTGTTGGAATCAGCCTGGGGAAAAGGTAGGAAAGAAACATATTAGGCTGTGGCAGAGCAGGAGCTTCTGTTTGACTGACTATATCATAGCAAATGTTTAGTTGAATAGAAAGTAGGAGTGTTTCACCCATCCGGAGTCCTGAGAGCATTTCTCTGCTTCTGGTTCTGGTGAGGTAGCAAAAAAGAGATGCTCAGAAGTTCTGTGCAACTTGCCATTCTCTATATACTAGGGGCCCGATTAGTCATAGAAAAGAAATGTTTTCAGGGCTGTACATCCCAGTTTCCAGGTCTGAAAGGCTCAAGAAAGCTCTGAGTAAGGATCTTGGATGTTTCACTGAACTTCCCAACACTAGGCCAAACCCTCAGATGGCATGAATTGGTATAGTTCTACAAAAGTGGGCACTCAAGATGTGATCAAATAGGAACTTCATCCATCAATAGTTGTGACATGTGACAAGGTTTTTTGAGCCTTGGTGTTAAATAAGAGTGCTTAACTGTCATGGATCTGAGTTCTATCTTGGCTGAATGAGGCTGTAGAAGTTTTCCAAATCTTTAGCTTGGTTACATGGCAAAATACTGGAGAAATCGTTGGAACAGAGATCCAGGCTGTCCTATCTTATAAAGAACATTAGAAAAAGCCAAGCTTGTTTGACAGTGCATCAAAGCCAGTCCTCAAGTCAAAGCACGATTTGTTCCACATGTAGTGGGAGGGGAATAGGTGGCTTTATGCTATTCTTACGTGCACACTAAAAATTAACTGGGATGGATTCAAGTGAAAGCATTCTCATGGCTACTCAAGATCATTTGTTAAACTAACAGCACTTAATGGGGGATTAAGGAGAAATAAGGTGATGGATGGACTACAAGCCCTGTGCCCTTGACACTGTCTTGCTAATGCTTCTGTAAAACCATGGCTCAATAAAGCCTCAGCTTCTAGCAGCCTCCACTTCCTTCTCCTTAGCTGAACAAAGCGTCTGCTTTTTAACCAAATTTTCCTTTCTTGGGAGGTAGTACCAGGCTTGGTTTGGTGGCTAAAAATGTAATGAGTGAAGAATTTCAAGACACTTGCAGATAGCACCTGGAAGATAAGCGATGTATCTTCCAGGAATACATGAAGGTTCAGCAGTACTGGGATAACTAATTGGTACATATACCAAAGTAGTGAAATAGGGTACACCTACATGGGTATCTGCTTGGTAACTAATGATTGGTTTTCTTATGTGATTGTTGAAATCTGACTGGTTTCCAGAGTTATTCAATATTAGGGTGACCATACAGGACAATGTGAAATCTGGGGCACTGTCCCCACTTTGCCAAGTCAGCGGCGCTGCTGCAGGAGATGTGGGGGTGGGGTGGGGTGGTGCAGCTCTGGTCTTACTATTTGGGCAGCTAATGGAGTAACTGGCCCATTAATGACCCATTGTTCTTTACATCACAGGTATTAACAATCATCTCCCCTTTTTAATAAAGCTAACCTATTTTAGGGCAATAGTTTAGGGCCAGCATTCCCTTTGCTGTCTTCAAGGGCTTCCAATTTCACAGCTTGTGCCACTCCCCCTCCCTGCCAGACTACACCCCATGCCCCATGCTGAGGACTCTAGGTTTAATTTTCATTGGTTGGCTGGGACTGGCCTCCAAAATCCAGGGCTGTCCCAGCCAAATTGAGATATATGTTCACCCTGTTCAGAGTGTACAACAAAGGTATAAAAGTTGCAACTATTCTGCCACACAGATATATATCCCCAGCTAGTTGGTCTGTTTATCCAGACAACAGTGATTAAAGGATCTCTAGTTTTACTCGCTGTATCATTTCTTTAAGCTTAGTAAGTACTGTGTGCAGTAAACCAGAGGCAAAGCCAAACCATAAGAGGAGGGAGCTTGGCCAAGCCAGCTACCTGCAGTACAAGGATGTGGCCTATATCTGTTCACAGCATGTTGTCGTCTAAGGGTGCCTATACATGTCCTTTGATGCATACTAATGCATCCTTGGAAACTTTTTGTAGAGAGGTCTACCAGGGAAGAACGAAGTCCAATGATACAGCTTCCTCTTGTGTTGGAACTCATTGGAATATAGTAATGAGGAGGGTGGTTGTAGTGATTTTTCAGTGGGAATAGGTATTTCTTTTGAAACTATTGGACTGGGGCTTGCGGAATGCAGTAGACTAAATTCATCTTTAGTGTACATTCATTGCATCTCCTAGAATTACACAAGGTATGAATGCAGCCAGTAGTTTTTGAAAATACAGTTTTTCTCTGTTTTGTGGTTAGGAACTTCGAATTTGCACCAACTTTTGGAGGGTTTTTTTGTAGCTTTCTGCACAATTAGCTTTGTAGATAAAAGGGCATTATCTTCACTGATGTAGGCTGGCCAAGCTCCATTCAGGTTTTTGTTATATATGACTCGCTGTAGTTCCCAGCCCTCTGGAGAATGTGTCAAGTGGCAAGATATTACTGAGTGTTAGGTTTTGTATCTGGATCACTAATGTAAGAAGAGGAAAGAGCCAGTGGTTTCTATTTATTGCTTTGCCTAGCTGACCTTGGATAGGTCAGTAAAGAGCTCAATCCCCTGAGGTAGCTGTACGTTTCGTGCGCAGATCCAGCTTAAAACTATTGCCTTTTGAGTACTAATAGCTGGCCTGGCTGTCCCTTAGTGCTTATGCAAAGACATTTTGAATTTTTAATGATTACTGCCTCAATCAAAGTGAAGCTTTTCATTTGCCCTGAAAAATGGGACCTTCAGCAACATAGTACCCTTTATCACCAGGCCCATTCATGGTGAGAGATGCCCCCTACTTAATTACCATCACCACTTCCTGTAGCCACCTATGTTTTCTCTAGCTAAACCCCACTGACTGAGAAATTCATTGAGCTTACAACTTGAAGTAATACTATTAGGGAATATTTTAAGATGCTTCCTGGGTAATTTTTGTGACCCAGGAGCTTGGGCAATGGATCTATTGTTTTCTCTTAATGTGGAGTAAGGGGATAACATAATATGCTTGTCATGTGACACACTTAAGCTTGTTGGCTGGGTATTTTATCATGGTGTTCCATGTTATAGGTACCTGTCAGAGAGGTAACACCTTTCCTTTTGGGAAAGAACTCTAGCGGTGATAGTCATTAGGAAAGGGTATCGGTGACCTATTTACACTCAAGTTCTATATGGCAGGCCTCAGAGGAGCCATTAGCCTAGGAAAGTATATATACCATATTTACTTGCATGCACTCTTTTCCCAAAAAGCTGAGGGAAAAAAAGGTTAAACTTTGACTTTATTGCTGAGAGGAGAAGGTGAGTGACTGAGGAACTGGACTCTGCCTCTCCTATATGCAACCAAGATTATTCAGCTATGAGGAGCCCAGGATGTTGCACAAAGACTGGAATTTTTTTCCTTAATTCTATCTGCCCCAAACCAGGTGTGTGTTTTATTTGGGGGTGTGGTATGGAAGAAAATATGGTATTTGGGTTTCAGTATTGATGTGGTCTTTAGATTTTGTGCGTGTGAGCGTGCATGTGTGTGTCTGTCCAGTTTTCCCAGTGTGTTCTCTCAGCCTGTTTTCACACTGCCTGATTCTGACTTCACTAGGGATGCAGTTTATTAGTAGTTCCAGTAGTACTATAATATCTTTTGAGAAAATAGGTAAGCAGATCTTGGTGTACAGCAAAGACTGCCTCATTTCTGCTTTCCCAGGAATGTGACTCTTGTCCTCTGAGCACATATTTCAAAGGCACACAAGCCAGTGTTCTCAGCCATGCCAGGCTGGCCCTGCCTGTAAGACTAGATTTAAGTTTTTGACTTCATCTGAGATGTCGTATAACTAAGTGTGTGATTTGTGGAGAAGCCATGTCCTCAGTTGATTATATGTACGAAAATTGATGCCAGAGTTGTGCTGACTTATACCAACTAAAAACTTAGCTTTTAGGTTTTATTTATGCAAAGTTGCCAGTAAATATTTCCAGTATCAATTGGTCTGAATGGCTCAAGCAAGAATTGGGTGTAGCTCAGCAAAGTAATATTTTTATGCAACGTTTATGCATCACTGCACAATAGAGGGTGCTGCATTCTGGGAGCATCTACATGAGACATTTACTGCAGTTGCCTAATTAGCTCTGCAGTAAATGTCTCAGCATCTACATGTGCACCCCTATGAGGCTAGAGTAAACTAATAAACTGCACAGCAGGGTAGTACTTGTAAATATATGTACTACCCTGCTGTGCAACTTTTTAATATGCAGCAATGCATATGTAGACACTGACCCGGCTGGCTGGGGCACAAGAATGCTTTACTATGTGTGTGGGGGGGTGAGGGAGGGGGCATTGCCTGCTGGCTGACCCCACGGTAGAGCACCGTCGTGCCCCAGCCAGCCCCTCCACAGCACGTTGAGTCGAGTTAGGCTGCTCTGACCTGGCTCAACAGGTTGTGGTCCCATGCGCATGTTCAAATGGCATGCGCAGGAGCAATAAACTCCAGCCCGTGTACTCAAGCCCGTTGTCATGCAGACATGATGAAGGCAACACACCTGAATTTCACCTACCAGTAAAATTGTACTGTGCACCTGGTTAGCTCTTAGCATGGAGTAGAATACATAGCCACTCCACTCCTTCTTGGCTACATACTTAAGCGAGCTAAGGTCACATATGTGTGTTGCTAAGAGTTAATGCTTCTTAAAGCAAATCCTCAGGTAGTATAAATCTCAGCTGAAGTCAGTAAAGCTACATTGATTTATACCACATGATGGTCTTGTCCCTTATATTTTTCAGACAAACCATGTCTGTTTCTGGAGCTATACCAAACTAAAAGCAGAAAGCTTGTGAGGCTTTCAATGCGAGGAAGCTAGTGGATTCTCAGGTAAGCATGGAGGTCACTCAGTATAGGCACATGTGACACTGAAACTGGTTTAAATGTAGTTTAAACCTGAAGCAGACAGATGTATCAGCCTAACAAGCCAGTTTAAAGCTGCCTAGAATGGCTCAAAAGTGTACCTGGAAAATCAAGTCCTATTTTGAACCATCTTGCTGTGAACTAGTTCAGTGTTATCTGTGGACACCAAGTGTTTGTTACCTGGGTCTGGTCAGTCCTCCAGGCACCCCGCACTGCAGTATTTCCATCCTGTTCTCCCTCCATCCCCTCTTCCACCCCACCTGCTGTCACTGGCTGTTCTGGTATGCAGCCAGAACTCAACTACCTCCCTTTTTTTCTTTTGCTGGTACTTTTTTTTTTATCAGTGAGTTCCCTTGCACTGCGTGTTGAAGAAAAACTGTCTTTCTAGCAACTAGCTGTGTCCTCACTTGCTACTCAGTTGCAGCTCCTCATCAAGAGGGATGTGGAGAACCTGGAGAGGGTCCAGAGGAGGGCCACTCATATGGCTGGGGGCCTCCGTGGCCAGCACTATGAGAAGAGGCTGAGGGACCTGAATCTTTTCAGTCTCCACAAGACGAGACTGAGGGGGGACCTTGTGGCTGCCTACAACTTTATCAGGGGCCACCAGGAGGGACTCGGGGAAAGTCTGTTCACCAGCACCCCCCTTGGAGTCACCAGGAACAATGGCCACAAGCTGAGGGAGGATAGGTTTAGGTTAGATATTAGGAAGAACTACTTCACTGTAAGGGTGGCCAGAGCCTGGAATAGGCTTCCCAGAGAGGTGGTGCTCTCACCTTTCCTGGAAATCTTCAAGAGGAGACTGGACAGGCACCTGGCTGGGGTCTTATGACTCCTCTCACCCCCACTGTTCATTCCTGCCCATGGCAGGGGGTCGGACTCTGATCTGTCTAGGTCCCTCCCAACTCATTGATTCTATGATTCTATGTCTCCAGCCCATGGGAAACCAAAAATGTTGGTCTAAGCACTCTTCCCACTTCCTATATACCCCAAGTCAGGCAAGCGCACTGCAGAGTTTGGTCAAGTGCCAGCTACTGAATTTTACTGATCTCATGTTTGGGAGAGAAGAGAAAGCAGAAATGTAAAAATGTCCCCAGCCACAGGTTGCCCCCCTCCGGGCCCTCCAAAGCATGGGTATAATAGTCCCATGCCCATTTTGAGGCATTCTGGACCAGGTACTCACTCCTACCCCCTAGTGTCAGAACCATAGCACTTCAATGCCTGAAGGCAATTGTTCTACCCAGAATGCGAGGGCACTGGACATCCAGACACCTCTGACCTGCGACAGTGGTGAGCCAGTTCCAAATCAGTGAAGTTTCAGAACAGTTCAGTTGTTAGGTGTGTCTACACCTTAAATCTTTTGAATGTTGAAATAAAGCCAAATTCCAAAGACTGCAGTGCAGACCTAGTGTTAGAATGGTGTCTCTTGTTGATGGGCACAATTCTTAATAGTGATTACAGGCCTGTTGTTGTCCATCTTTTGTACTGCAGCAGCATCCCATGGTTGCAGGGTCAGATGGTACCAGGTGCTGCGCACACACTTGAGGAAAAAATGGGTCCCTGCCCTAGGGGCTTTGGGAATGGAAGTTATGACAAGGTGTCGTAGGAAGTAATTTTCTCTGTGGAAGTCATTCCCATCCAAGGGGATGGAAAGTCTATTGCTCAGTTTTTCCATTGAAAGGTAAGGAGGGATGGATTAAACCCTACCAGGAAGTGCCAGGGTGGATCAGCTCCTATTCCTGTAATCTGTAGTTCTTTATACTCTCTTCCCTCCCCACCACACCTCCAAGACTCCGTGAGTCCTTGTGGAGGTACATTGAGCCATGCTGTTCGGGCTTTCTCCTGGCTGCTGCCTGTGTCCAATAGCACAGATGTTAACCTCAGACTTTCTCTGCATGATATGTGCTGTACTTTGCATGAAAGTACTACTTTTCAGGAAACAATCTAGCAGAGACCTCCCCTTCTCCTTGTTCCTCTCTTCTCTCAGGCCTCCAGGGCATGAAGGGAGCAGAGGGAACGGGACACATACCACCTGTATGAGTCTCCCACCCTGCTGTAGACCCACAGATGAAGGCTTATAGAGAAGAGCATGAAGTTGTGATGTTTGGCACTGCTTATGAGGCAGTGCGACTTTTGGTGATGGATAGGGAAAAGTTATCAGTCCAAGAGAGAAGTCAGCCCTTACCTTCTCCATGATCCTGTCAATTTGGCGGTTCTGTGTGTCAATCTCATTGCCCATATCCAGGGCCATATGACGGAGGTTTCCAATGATGCCGCTGACCTGCTCAAGGTTTTCATCCATTTCATTTTCTCTGGCATCATTTGTTACCCTGTGAGAGAAGGAACAACTCTGCTGAGTAGAGATGGACTGAATCCAACTGGTGCCTCTAGCTGTCCAGCTGCCCTTATCCCTTCAACCCTGCCAACCGTTGCGCACCCTACTTCCTTCTCTTTTAAGTCTGCATCTGTCACTATGAGTCATTCTAATCTACTAGAACTACTGCCTTCAGTGCTGACTGGCTTAGTCTGTGCTGTCACTAACAGAACTGTATTGCCTATTAGTGGTAGTTCTTTTTAGACTTTGGACCTAAGCTTTGCATGTCCATGAAAAAATATAATACTTAGGAGCAAATTGTGGACCGAAGTGATCCAATCTGTCTGTCTTGCATGAAGTATACCTAACGCACAATGAAAGTTCTGACTCTCTTGACCTAAGACTCATTAAAGTACTGCACAGGAAAAGCGGCCTGTTGGAAATTTCCAGCTAAAATAATTACTTCAGCATGTATGTCTTCTGATTTTTGTTTGTTTTTAATAAATAAATATATTGATTTCTCTTCAGCTTGTCAAATAAGTGTAAATCAACATAAAACCCCTATTGCTGCTATTAATCTTCCTCATCTGTTGTCAGTTTTAATGAGAAGATTCTTGCCAAAGATGAGCAGATGCTGGGAATGAACCTCAGTAGTTTAGGCTTGAATTATGCATTTGCCTTAATAGCTGGCCAGCTATGTAGGGAGCCATGTCAGTGACTGAAATGCTAGAAAAAGCATGGCCCGCTGGGCTCACAAGAGCACAAGCTGCCATGTACCTGTCTTAGACAGAATCCCCTGTAGGAATGGAAAGGGATAAGGAAATGTAGCTTCTGTGGACCAAAATTGCTCCCGGACTCCATTCTTTTCAACATTCTGTAGTCATAACACAATCATATTTATTCAATACACATCCACCATCAAAATGGACCCCAAAATAAGCAGTTTATAGTTAACAGAAGAATATTTACCTGTTAATCCAGTATCCTTAATCTTCATAGAGCAAAATTTGCACACTAATCTATCTTTCTGGGCAGCAGCTGCAGTCAACTGCCTTCATAAACTCAATCAATTGGCTTGCTGCCTACATATCTGTTTTATGGATGCTATAATCAGTATTAATGTATCTGTGAACCTTTTACTAAAACAGTCTTGCAGCTATAATGGAACATTGTTTATTACAAGGGATTTGGTTTTAGCATATAGTGGTTGCCATTAAAATGTCAACATTTTCCTATAGTTAACAATTTATGGTATCTGAGACGTTGTGCCTAGGTCCCAGTTCAGCAAGGTTTGTTAGTGCATGTGTAATATTAAGCACGTAAGTCCCCTAAAGACAATGGGATGGCCCATATGCTGCAAGCTATACAATCACTAGCCTTTGAGTCTAAAGCTCTATTGTAATGCTGTGCTGCATTCTCTGTTGGCAAGAAGTGACATTTAACACTAACCTGTTTTAAAATAGCAATGATACATTGACGTTTACTCATCACTCTGAGTTTCTGGTTTCTTTACAAGTAATTGGGACCATACTTTGCAAAAGTGCAGGAAATCAGGTACGTGTCCCAGCTTGTATGCTGTGAGCCTTAATCACAATATTTCCCAAGTATTATTATGATTAGTTGTAGCTAGATAACAGAAATAGAGGGCCACATGTTTGAGAGACCTCTCATTCTGGAGGCCTGCAGCCTGATTTTTCACATCAGCCAATCACCCGCAATCCTGACTTGACACAGCGGGTGTTCAGTACATCTGAAAACCAAGCTGTAGATCGGGAGTTCTCAGCCTTGTACAAGTCAGGGCACCCCTCCAACAATTTTTCTGAATTGGATGGCACCCCTGCTTAAGAGCCACTATTGTGCTGTCTCTGCACTCCTAAATGCTTTTTAACCAGAGTTCTGCTGATTTTCTTATAAACCTAAAGCAGGCAGGAGCAGGGGGAAGGGCGGGAGATCTTACCTGTCCTGCTTGCAGTTTCTCCAGCAAGTGCAAACCGCTCCTTCAGCCCAGCCTCACTCTAGCTGAGTAGTGTAAAGGGCTATTCCAGCCCAACCTGGCTCCTCCTGGAGAAGTAGCGCAAAGAGCTGTTCCATAGCCCAACCTGAGCACTCCAGAGGGTTGATGCAAATGGCTGTGGCAGGAGCACGTACACTTACCGCAACCTTTCCTGGTCTGAGCTCACATGCTTCTCCTGGAAATGGAGCTGGTCAGGACAGTCCCACTTACTTGGCTTGCTTCTCTTTCCAGGAGAAGCACAGGGAGTCAGACTGGGAAGGGCTGCAGGAAGAGCGTGGGCTCCAGTCTCAGTTGCTCCCCGATGTACCTCTGCACGAGGTGTGCAGGGAATCACCCTGGCTGCAGTATCACCCACATGGCAGCATCCCTGGAAGGGAATCGCATCACCCCATTGGGCTATGGCACTCTGGTTGAGAACTGCTGCCCCTGATGGGTATGAACACCCACAGAATTGGTGGGAAATGTTAGCCAGTTACACAAATGGAGGTAACTAGGAACACACAAGTCTTGACCACATGGAAAAAAATCTAAACATATCTGCAGCTGAGGAAAATCAGAGAGAAAGTGGATAGAAAGTCTCACCTGCGGATAAAGCCGCCGCTGATGGCCATCTGCTCCCGTTCATCCACAACACGGGCGGGCTGGCTGGCTACCACCCCATCCTGATTATTGCCCCAGGCTTTTTTGTAAGCCTCACTTGATTTAAGCCTATGCAAGAAAGAGGGTGAATAACAAAGCATCAAGTGGGAAGAGATGAGTGCAAATATCTTTACTTCTCCAAGATAAGAGCTGATTCAAGCAAATGAGTTTTAAGATAGAGGGGCGTTTATCGTATACCGATATATCATAAACTGGAGCAAAATCTTTTCTTTCTTTTTTTTTTTTTTTTTTTTAACTGCCACAACAACTATGCTGCTCAGAAATTTTGTTTCCAATAGGCTGAATTGCAATCATCAAGCCTACCACACTGCACACAGGTTTTCATTGTGTTCGGTCGGTTTCCAGAAAAGAAGAAAAGAAGAAAAATACAAATCACTGGAAAACATTCAGTTTCAGTTCAACAACACACATATAGTTTGACATAAAACACAAAGAACATACTGGCAGACAGACATAGAAACAAAACTGCCAAGTATAGTGTGTACATCACATCACAGCAACACATCATCTTAGAGAAAAACAGATTCGGCTAGATTTAAACACAGTGCCATGCAAACATTTCCTTTTTTTTCTTTTTTTTTTTCTTTGTTTTAAAGTATATGTGGCATAATGGGCATTTAAAGCCACTAACTTTCCCATGGTGGACAGGGTTGTTCTTGGCATATGCATTGCATGTAGGGCAATTTCATTGGCTTTCTAAATAATATATCGGTACTTGAAAATATTTAACCATACATCGACAGTTGATGTACAAACCTTTGCCCACAGAGACAAAAAGTAAAATAGGCAGAAGTGAGATGAGTGCAGGAGAAAGTAAAAATACAAGCAATCTAGCATCAGAAAGGGAAATTCCTCTACATTTTCTTCATGCACCAGCTACAGGCATGAATAAGAAGTGAAGCATTCTCGCTAAGCACAACTGCCCCAGTAGTTCATCATACTCGTAATGCACCAGCAGTAACAGCCTTCACAATAAGCGAGATGCAGGCAAAAATGGATCTTTTCCTTTTTCAGGAGCCTTAAACTTCAGGACTTTAAAAATATGTCTTTCTGTCAGGTCATTTTATTGGCTTATGCAATCTTTCAAAGAGCCATTTTTGACTGAACTGCCATGGAGAAAAAAAATTAAAATCCAGGCATACCTGCAGTGGCAGATTAGCATGTGCAGCATGCTTTGGGTTGTTCTGACACTAACGTGATAAGAGGTTTTTAAATTGTAGAAAATGGTGAGCTTTTGGGGTCTCTGACAAAAACTTTTCTGTTTCAGAAATTGAGCTAATTTTTATCTAAGCTCTTAGCAATAGCAAATCACAATTTTTATTTTCTGCACAAGGCTGTAATTGTGCAGAAAAACAGCCTTGTGGCTTACAGCTTCATGGAGAGAGTAAACAGTTTTTAAGATGAATTGAGGAAAATATTGTAACAAGTTTTAGATACTCTCATTAACCACATATTGCATAAGCCCACACTGTAGCTGTCAGGATTTTTTGGGGGTGGTTTTTTGCTCAAAGATGTGTTACATACACAAATCATTAATAAAATAATTGCAGTGGGTTGTTTCCCCAATAGTCATCTTTTTTTTTTCTTTTAGAATTTAGTAAGACTTTTAAACACTTTTTTTGTTAAGTTGGTTTTGTTATATGAAATGTATTATACACCATCTTTGGCATTTTTGGAAATTAACTAGGGAAATGCTTCTATATAATTACCACCCAAATGTTTATACATAATTATCACCCAAAATGCTGCACATACAGTCCCAGTTACTCACTTTTTCTTTAGACCCCTGCCACATGCAGAGAGTAAGATATTCTATGACTGAAATGAACTCTCATATTTACCCAGAGCCTGATCCCGACTTTCTTTGTGCATTTAAACCTCCCATTAAAATCAGTGAGTGAAATCCTGGCCCTGCTGCAGCCATTAGGAGTTCTTCCAGTTGATTTCAGTGGGACCAAGATTTCACTCCATGGGAATTTTGGCTGCTCAAGGAATGTAGGATTGGGCCTCAAATTGTGACACATGGTTCATGGAACTTTATTTAAAAGTAGCAGGGGGGTTATTGTATGAGGATTGTATCCTTGTTTGGACTATTTATAATGAATTTAACACCAGCCAGGGAAAGGACCTGTGGTTATGATGCTGTTGTGCCAATGTTGTAGCAATGTTGGTATTTAGGCCTGTGTGGTTTTTAAGCCTATTGGCTTTGTTGAATCCTTGATTCCTGACTTGGATGTCTCTGAGAACTGCCTCTAACAGAAATAATGGCCCAGGCCCCTTGCCTTCAAACCCTTCTGAATGGTCAACGTAATTTGTGTTTTCAGCCACTAAAGTGATGAATTCAAGATTAGAGTCTTGTGTTAGTTTAAAAGAGTAATAGTAACTAGTACTGCAGGGACCACAGCTGTGGTTGTATTAGTAGTACTAATGGGGGGGTACCTTTAAGAACTAGCTTCTTATCCTCTCCCCCACCCCTACACTGCCTGCAGTATCTTTTCTGTGCTCAGGCCAGGAGATTTCAGATACAACAATCGCTGTGGAAAGAACAATATTTGAAAGCCAAATTTTCAGGCAGCATTATCAGAATAGTGCTGACTTGCATTAGCAGATGATCTGGTCATGATGTTCTTGGCTTGCCATACAGCATGTTACCATAGGTACAATGAAAAAGTCAAGATTTACTGTGATGTACCATGAGACCTTCTATACTTAAATGACTAACTTTTGTGATTTGGGGCTACAAGATAATTCCCGTACCAGCTACTATGACTCTAGGAGTCCTAGGGAAGCATATCTGATAATTCAGCCTGTGCTTCTCCTCTTCGCTAGGTCAGCTCCATGCTTAAGGACAGACAGGAGCCAGGGATATAGTCTAAACTCTATGCCACATCACAGCTGCCAGTACAGGGGTTTAGACATCCTACCTATGTATTTATTCATGCTTATATGTGTATCCTTGCATCTCTCCCCTCCTCACATAGGTATCACCTCATGCACCCAACCAAGGCCAAAAGTATCCTGGGCCAAATATATATATACCATTAAGAGGCATTTATACCTTAATGCAAAAATCTGAGTTCAACAGCTGGATCTGTATTTTGCTCCCAATTTAATACCAACATTAAATTTTCCTCAAGGAATTAACTTAAAAATAAATGGAGATTGATCAGATGAAGTGCCCAATCCTGTTCTTACTCAGGCAAAATTCCTGTTGAATTCTATGGGAGTTCTGGCCAGTTTTGCCTCAGTAAGTATTTCAGGATAAGTTCCCTGCTGTTAACGAAGCAAGTGTCTTTGCCCACGGAGGGATTGTCACATGATCTATACACCCAACCCCTCGCAAAACTGGAGCTTGTAATTTATAGATGTATTCTTAATGGCTTGTTTATGCCCTGCCTCACTGCATGCTGGGTCTGTTATCTATTGAGACACATGATGTTTCCAGTTTATTTCCTAACCTCCATATTTGCACAACCACATATCACATTCTTCTGCTGCGTTTAGAACAAGCCTTGCAGCACTTCAAGAACAGCTTTGTTCTAGTGCGATGGCATGCAAGCAGATTCAAAATATTTCAACATTTCAGTTTAGTGTACACTCTACCAAGGAAGAGAAATTTGGCACAATATGTTTAGTTTCTCTAAAACTTGACTCCCTGCAACAGCATATTGTAGCTTGGGGTCAAATTGTAAAATGTCATGTCTCATTTAAGACCTCGTTAGGGAGGGGATCCACTGGACAACACATTGATAGTGACTTCCTTTCTGTAATTTTTATTAATACTCATCTCAAATGATATTTTCTGCATTTTTTTAAACCATGACTTTTAAAGTTTATTAAGCTTATTTGTGAAAAGATATGCTTTAAAATTTAGGGTCTTCAGGAACAAAACAGGTCTGATATTACCATGATTTATTGTCAGCTAGATAATAAAACCACATAAGTACACTTTCTGTAAAATGTTGAAACTTTTCTCAGTAGAGGGTGTTTACCGTGAAGCTTGCACTGCGGTATGCCTGATTTTAATGCATCTACTGTACTTCCCACTTGATTGTCTATGCTATGAGATGAATGCATTGGAATCATAATCGTTTTTTCTGCATGCCACATGCTCATCCTGTCCATGTGCCTAACAAGGATGAGCTTCACAAGGCTTTTAATATTGGCCTTGAGTGCTCAAAAAGATTCAGGCAGGCAGGCGGCACCTACTTGTTACATGGACAGACACAAAGACCACAGAATTTTCCTAGGTCCGTCAAATTCTTTTCTGCTTCTTTCATGTCCTTATTGATTTGGTCCATTCCCTCTTCGATGCGTTCCAGTTGTTCTGATTAAACACAAGTATTTTATCCCCACAGAATGAAGCAGATGGAAAAGGACAAAGAAAAAAAGACAAAAAACTTCAGACATTCACTCTGACAAAAAAACTGGACACCACATAGCAGAGCCGGTACCCAGTACCTACTTGTTACAAGGACATATGAAAAGGCCACAGCATTTCCCTAAATCTTTTAAATTTTTCTCGGCCTCCTTCATGTCTTGGTTGATATGGTTCATGCCTTCTTCAACACGATCGAGTTGTTCTGGTCAGGACAAAGGGATGACAGTGTGGAATGAATTGTATTTTTGTTTGTTTGTGTTCAAAGAACATGAAAAATGATCATGTAAAACTGAATTAATAATGATATTGCAATGCATTGATTTGAGCTGATGCATTGCTGCTGGGATGTGTGCCAGACTCTAGATAGTGAAGAAAGATGTCCTTTGCTAATATGAATAGAGAGAGAGGAAAAAAAGTGATGTTTGAAATATATCAATTTAAACAGGATGTGATGATGTAGAAGGAAGAGTTTTAAACATTAAGGTCCAAAAACATAATACAATACATCCACTTACTAAGACACCAGTGACATCCAAGAGAAAGAAAGAGATAGGGTTATTATCTTTCATTTATTCACATTCACATAACAGAGGGTCTCTGTCAATGGAAAATGCCTGAATTACCCATACTTAAAAATGTATTTGAACTAGATGGTGGTTGACAGTGTAACTGTTTTGATTTGTGGGTGATTGGGTGAGAGAAGAGACAGTAATGGCATTAGGAGTGGTATGAGTTGTTAAGATCCATGTCCAGCTACATATTCTGAGCATACTGAGGTCTGATGTTTTAGTTCCTGTCCAAACCAAAAGTAAAAAATCTGTTGCAAATCACCAGTAACCCCAATGAATGCAGTGCAGATGCAACAACCTAGGGATCTACTCCAAGGCCCAGTGACATTAATGGAAAGATTCCCATGTCTTTGGTGGGCTTTGTGTTAGTCCCTCAGTGAGGTAAACGTAAACATGCTGCACCAGCGTAACTCCTTATACTTTACTGGAATTGCTTCTGGTTTGCACCAAACCATGGGAGTGAAGCACCTGGCGTAAAAACAGGCTTTGTACAGACACTGGACTCATCCATTAATACTAATGGACTTGTGCTTGCTGACACTAGTGCTGAACTTTGTGGACTTTGTAGCTGCTGGTAATTTCATATTGATTTCTCCATAGAAGATAAAGCTGAGAAAAACAGTATGCTGCATCAGCCAGTTCCTTAGTTGTTGTAAATAAGCATAGGACCAAAGAGATCCTGGCTTTTAACATGAACTTCATCGTTTTATACCAGCTGGGGATCTGGCCAGTAATTTCATTTAAATATGGAATGCGGGAAGGATTCTTGAATGGAGCAAAAATTCCTTTCGGTGATGATATAACCTGTCAAAAAAAGCAGATTCAAAATATATGTAGCTAGGAACTGATTAGCTAGGGTTTAAAATGATTAAATTCATATTTCCTGCATCGGATACAGGGAAAAAACGTATGTACATACCTATGAGTTACAACTGAGAGGAAAAGGATTTGAGAATACAGGGATAGTTGCTGAAGTTAAATGGGCTTTATCAAGATAAAACAGTGTATTTTAGAAACAAGGATTGAGCTATGCAACCACAGATACAAATAGCAATATCCTGTTGATTTCAGTAGAATTAGGGGTCCTGATTTTTTTTTATGTGGGTTTGTAATAACACTTGGGTTTGAGTTTTTCAAAGGTCACCAAGGGAGTTGGATTATTATTGAATTTGCCATTCAATGACTTGTCGTTCAGTGCTATGTTGTTCATTTTAATTTTTCCATCCAGCTTTGCCTTGAAAGCGAAAATAGTCAGTGGTCAGTCAGTGTCGCTAGCTGTATGTTGTTGTAATTTTTTTGGTTCCCATCCCCCTGGCTTGATGGTCTTGTGTTTGAGTGTCCAAGGATAACTGGATTATTTACATACATGTGGATAAAAAATGTACATTTTGAGAGCTAAATTTACAAGAAATATTCCTTAAAAAGACAATACATTCCACAGTTGGGAAATTACTCTGGTTCAAGGTTCATGACCATGGTTTAAGAGTTCCAGTGCAGAATTTCTAGTTTTACTGGAAATGAGAAAGTTGGACTTGCAAAATCTAAACTGAGTTTTCAGAGATATCTGTTAGAAGAACCTGGTTTTCACTTGTACGTTTTGATGAGGAAATAACAGAGAGGGACAACACACCTTTGTGGTGCCATTTTTAAAGTTACTATTGTTGTTGTTGTTGTTGAGGATAACTACGTATATTTTCCTGATATTGTAACATTGGTGGGAGAAAGCAAGGCTTCATCACAGATTGTGTATTAATAACAAACTTGGGGTCTAATCCTTCCTTCCTTACTCAGGCAAAAATCTTCTGAAGCCAAGAGCAGAAGCGGGTGTTGAAATGTCACTCCCAACAGAGTCCTATGGGCATTACTGGGAACAATAATGCCCAGATTCTGCAAGGGTTAACTGATGTGTGTAATTTACTTAGCACAAGGACTTCTCACCACAGCTGTCTTCAAAATTTATTGTGTTTCAGTATTCTGAAGTGTGATGCTTTTGTGGTTTCATTACAGCTTATGCTATTTCTGAAGAGGAAAGGGACCACAAGCAATCTATCTTCCATTAAGAAAAGCCTCATCAATCCAAAAAGCCTATGTCACAGAAGTAGCCTAGAAGTCTAGACATCCAGCTGCTCCTTCAAAAACTGCTTGTTTAACCTAAACTTGAAGGGCCAGATCCCTGGCTGGTTCAAACTGTCATAGTTTCCTTGGCTTCAATGGAGCAATATCAATTTACACCAGCTGAACGTCTGATCCTATAAGGCGAGATAAACAAACAGATTCCAGATTCTAACTGTCATGACAGTGGTATAAATGTGGAATAACCTCATGAATCTCACTGGGTCACTCTAGACATATATTGATATAACTGAGATCAGAATAGGGCCTAGGATGTTTTATTAATGGTACAGAAACAGCTAATAAAGGCTAATTTCACATCCATTTTAACTGACTTTCCCTAATCTAACATTTTGCCGGTTTTATTAAATCACTTGGGAGCAGATGCTGTGCTGGTATAGACTGCCATTTATCTATGACACTTGACATCACCTAAGATTCTACCCCTTTATCTGTTCCTTGGTGAAATGTTTCATGATAAGCTTTCAAACAGTTTTCAGTTGTTTGCTGCTGCCTCCTTTAAATGTGCATCATTGTAAGACAGGCAGCTTGGACCCTTTCATTCCATAGGTAGAGTTTGCATGTCAGGTATGTGTTTTGTCAGAATGTATTATGCCTTTCTCCAAGATTCTCTGTTAATAATCAGTTCTTTGCCTTTCTATACCACTTCCTGTCCAAGGAGATTCAAACAGTGGCCATGAATCTGCTGTGAGATTTTTTTATGTAACGGTTTATTCCAGTAGACCAGCAGAGAATGTGGACCATTTGTCTGATGTTATCAGGTCATCCACAGTGTTTCAGCACTTACTTCACCAGCATATGGACCAAAAGGACTCTCAACTCTATAAGACATGGGTCCAAGATTATCTGTTGATCTATCTCCATCTCTGAGACAGAGCAGTGGTGTATCCATAGAACTCAATACTTTCTGCACAGTGAGCATAGATTACGCATCATGCATTCTGTAGTGGACTTCAGAGAAGGGGCCTGGAGGATAAACCTCTATGTTCTTATGTTCTTCTTGGTGGATACTGGAGGGGGTTGGGGAACTTTTTTTCATTTGTTTTTGCTCTGTTTGTTTTTATTTCCTTTTTGTTTCCTTCTTGATTTAGTGGAGAAGCTAAATCAAAAAAGATGTTTCTATAACACATGCAAAAAAGGAGACATTGGGTTAGTTCAATTACCATTGCAAATTAATTCTGCTACTGAGTCCCCTTGATAGAAAATGATCTGCTTAAAACTCTTCCAGGATTTTTCTTATATTGTCCTCATAGATTTTGAAGCCAGATGGGACCAAACTGCATTGTCCTGAAAGAGAGCAGCTGATTGCAAATAGAGATGTACCGACCTGCATGACAGGGTCCTGACTAGTGGGTGGTTTTGAACATTGGACTATAAAGGCTGGTCTTGGTAACAGAAATGAATTGAGAGCCTGTGGTGGTGTGGAGGTTAGAGAGACGCATGCCAATGTGGGCCTCATTGAAGAGGAATGATGCTGCATCCTATAAAGCTGGAGCCTTTCTGGGTTGTTTCCACATTCAGTCCAAACCACAGAAAATTACCATATCCAAGTTTTGAAGGTGTTGAACCTGAGAAGTGTTATGGCCAGAGCTCCTCTGACAAAAATGGGGTTCAAGCTCCTAGCATGCAGAATAGAAAGTATTTCAACACTGGCAATGTCTGGTCATATAGAACCATACAGAGTCTAACAGGTTCCCAAGGCTTCACATTACTGTGATGAATGTGGTACAGGCCAGAATTAAGCCACTATCACAACCAGTTCTACAAACCACTTCCTCTCCTGGGCAGCACAGCTGCATCCTTCCGAGGGCTTCCTCTGAGAGAGCTATCCTGTAGCCATTGCTGACATCTCTTTGATGGTGTTGGCCCCTTTTGTGGAAATGAGATGTGCACCTGGATACTACCGGAGTCCTGCTGGTGAGAGCTCCTGACATCTCACTCCATCAAGTGGTCTCATGCAAGCACTGACTGGAAGAAGTGTTGGGGTGGACAAAGGAGATCCCAATGCAGCTTTGCAGGTGAGGTACTGTTATTCCATCTCGTTGGAAAGGAATGAGCTGGGGCCTTTGTAGTTGCTTCAGTGACCTCTTCAGCTAGATAATATAAACAGGTCAGCAATACCTTGTCATCAGCTTTGTTAAAAGTGGCCAAAGAATATTACCATTGAGATATGACTTCTGTCTATTGCCATGTTGAAATCCAATCATGTTGTGAAATCTGTCTGCATGTCCAGTTGCAATGAAT